ATATATAGATATATAGAGATATATAAATATGACACACACGCACGTATATATATACATATATATATATATATATGTATAAACACACACACACACACACACGCACATAGATATATATATATATATAAATATTTATATATGTATGTGTGTGTGTGTGTAAATATATACATATATATATATAAGTACATTTGTTTATAAATGCATATATACGTGTATATGTATATACGTATATATTCGCACATTTACATATATCTTCTCTAAAGAGCCTAAATCGATCACTAATAATTGTGCTATCCACGATTCCCTAACCTGCAAATATTGCACTTGCAAATATTTATGTCAAAGTATCATTACGATGACACCAACGAAACAGATAAACGCATGTCCCGCGCCTTTAGTAGTCACATTTAGTTTATGTACGTTGTATATGTATGTACGTACTCATATAGCTGTATGATTAAAATGAGACACTCATGCCTTGTACGTATGCGTGTACACAAACAGCTTATGATCGTCTTTTACAACCCAGAAAAATGGCAGAGCTTGCTTTGTCGGCCATGTACACGTGCATACCACATACCAAATACACATGTACACATGCACATACTTACCCTTGCCATACACTCACACACCAAATACACATGTACACATGCACATACTTACCCTTGCCATACACTCACACACAAACCATATCTCAATAGCGCGCCGAAAGAACAGCTGCCCTATAATAGGCTTAACCCCTTGGAAGGAGACTGCCCCGGAAGCCGTCTGTGCGCCGTCATCTGATGTGCTCAATCTGTTTGGTGACAGTCAAATTTTGCTCAATGCTCTGGAGGTATGTTGTCAAAGTCTGCTCCCACGAGCGCGCTAACATACACTTATGTTAATATATATCAATGCGTTTATACTCAACAGCAGAGTCCCCGTTCCGCGTATGCGTATTACGTACTCTACAATATACACTCCACCCTCTACCGAACGTTCATCCAATCGGATACTTATCATCTCATACTCCCGTCCTTCCAGGCTTCGCAACCCCCCTCCGCACGCATGGCCATGTCTTCCGACCGTTTCAACACTGAAGACCTCAACGAGCCTCCTACAACAACCGCTTCGAGTGCCGTGCCCGCCCAAACCACTCGTGACCGCAGACACTCACAAGCGGGTTATCCCAAAGCGCAGCAAGTCACCCCTGCGGCACGTGCGCACTCAGGGCCAAGTAGCGCGCGTCGGTCGGCTACAGTCAAGGGGTGGCAGAAACCACAGTACAAGCTGGAGTCTGGCTCAGAGGGAGATACACACGACTGTGAGCAGACGCTGAGTGAGGAGGCGCTCGCATCCAGAGATACGCTTGACTCGGGGTTTATGTCGCAGAGCAAATGCTCTACATTTAGCAAGAGTGATGATGAACTGGCCAGGAAAGTCAATACCAGCACTCGACAGATGCAGGTGTGTATGTATGGTTGGGTTTTAAGGGTTATAGGGTGTAGGGTTTGGCAATAATTGAATACAGGAGCGTAGAATGTTGAAGTGAGTAGAGGAGTATGCATGCGGACTTGTTGAGTGGACATATCTGAATGAGTATATGAATTTAGAATTATGTCCGTCGATGTAATATATATATGTATATATGTATATG